CAAATCGGGTCCTCATTAGCCTTCCAAAGTTACAACTCATTTGGTTAGAAACAGACTTCGCACAAGCCATTTGAAGTTTACATGTAAATTAGTATGGGAAATCTCAACTTTTTGTTCATTGCCTTCTAGTCTTTTTCCATATTGAGCTGCAGTTCGATATTTCGTCTACAATGTACGGACTTCTTCAGTGTCTTGTACAAATACTCGACTGCACAGACAGTCGAGTATTAGTACAAGACACTGAAGAAGTCTGCACATTGTAGCCGAAATACGCGTATCTGTCAAGGATAAGCAAATAAGGTAGTGGAATTAAATGGAAATTACTAATCCTTCTCTCTCTCATTCCACAGCCTACTGTAATATTTGTGTCTTATGCAAATGCATTGAATCTGAAAAAACTTTTGTAAAGAAACCTAGACCAACAATTGAAATAGGCGGAACAACCAAACGTAAATAATGACTTTAAACACAAAATTCTCAAGAATCAAAACACTCCCACGCAAACTAACAATGCCATTCGATAAAGGAAGTTTGCTCTATAAGATGACGGTGTTAGATTGCTTGAATGTGCTTTGATTCTCGAGGAATTTGCGTTTAAAGCCATTGTTTACGTTTGGTTGTTCCGCCTATTTCAATTGTTGGTCAAAAATTATTATTATTATTTATCTTTATTAGGGAGGCTTTCAGCCTGGGGCTGGTTCGCCTCCACCGTTGGTCAAAAAACATACTGGTTCAAGCTTCAAATTTTAAAGATATTGTAAAAAAAAATAATAAAAACGGCAAATTTTTGAACTTTAATATCTCCTAAAGCGCAAAAAATCGCAACCTGATATTTTTAGCAAACATTAAGCAATACTCGATAAACAAAATATCAAAATTTGATAAAGGTATATTTTGGTTTTTTTTTACATCAAATTTGGAGGCGAACCAGCCTCCCTAATAAAGATAAATCAATCAATTTTTTGACATCTAACAGGTCCTTGAAGTTTTACGATGTTCCATGAAGTTTAAAAATCCTTGAACTTCAACGAAGTTACCCAGCGGCGCCGGTGGTGTAGTGGTAAGTGTGATTGCCTCTGACTCCAAAGTCGGCGCCGTCAGGATTTTCTGAGGCATAAAATCTCTGATCACGCCTTCCTTCGGAAGGGAAGTAAAGCCGTTGGTTCCCGGTCCATGAATTGATAGGTCGATGGGTAGTGTCCAGGTATGGGAGATGCCTTCCTGGCGTCGGTAGCATTGGATTAAGGAAAAAAAGCGAACCAACCGAATTTTTAAATTTTTAGAGGAATCTATAGTTTGTTTATTTTTTACAAAGTTCACTCAACTTCTACAAAATTTGCTGAACATATGAAAAATCTCTGCATTCCGACGAAATTCACTGAAGCTCTACAAACTTCGCTGAATCTCTACAACGTTGGCTGCACTTTTAGAAAATTTCTTTTACGAAGTTTTCTAAAGTTCTACGAGGTTTCCTAATGAACTTAGAAATTCTTTGAATCCATCTATATATATTTTTTTATTTGAATATAGGGTATTTTAAAGAATTGGAGAAAATTGAAGCATCGGCTAGAGAATTATAATGAAAATTTTCGCGTCACTTTTCAAATAGACCAATGTCATATATCAACCATATTCACCAATGTCATATATCCCTTTCACAGATTTCAGAGTAGGGTACCTAGCTTTAGATTGGCCCCGCCTTCAGAAAATGAGCACCAATCATGTTAGGCAGTCCAAATGACCGAAGTACCAATCATGTACCCATCATTTCAAACTGTACATTGGACAATTTTTGACCTATGATTATCTTAAATAAATGAAAGTAAATTTGGATGGGTGTTTTTGTATCACATACAATGATAGAAGAGCAATAGTTTGTATCGCTTAGCTCGATTTACATTTGTTGCTTAGGATCTTTTGAAAAGTGACGCGAGAATTACAAATGAAGTTTGATGATAGTTGTAGAGGAAATCTAGGGCTAATACTAAAGAAAGTCTGGGAAGAATTCTAATGGAATTTAACTAGAAATTTCAGGTTATTTTGAAAAGTATCTCATGAAAATTGTAAGGGGAGGTTAAGGTGAGTGTTAGCGTAGTCCTGAAGAGACTATTCTGGGGATTATGATGGGAACTCTAAAGCAATTCGAAAGTAATTTAGAGGAGCATTATAAGGGAATCGCAAATTTGACTGTACATCCTGAAACTATGCCTAATGATCACCTACGGCTGAAAATCTCTTCTATGTTGATCAATCAATCAATCAAAGAGAAATTTTGAGGAAAGTTGTTTGGAAATATGTATAATAATTCCATGGTAATCTAAGTATATACTCCAATCAGAGACGTGTTGGGCCTCGCGAACTCTGCTATATGCAGTCGATTTATGTGTTTCTGTACATGTCTAGTATAAGAAAATAATTCCTTTGTCTCTCTTCATTAGTTTTTGTTTGTCTTGGGGCCTGTTCATAAACTACGTAGACAGTTTTTTGGGATTCTTCACCCCCCCCCCCTCCCCCTGCGTAGACAGTTATCCATACATTTTTTTAAATTTGTATGGGCCGTGGATAATTGTCAACCCCCCCCCCCCTAAACTGTCTACGTAGTTTATGGACAACCCCTTGTCCCCACGTCTCGATAAGTCTCGAGTATTTGGCCCAACTCCGAATACACATAGAAGTAAGTTAATTTTGTTACAAACAAGCGCCGTAAAGCTAACGCGATTGACCTTTCCAAATAAACAAACTAGATAAAATAGATACCGATTCGGGACGTCATTCTAAGTACGATAATGAAAACGGCGGTGGAGATGCTCTTAAGCAATCCTGGCTCAAAACGAGTAACACTCTTTCCTCTGCCTGACCCGATCGGAAGTTTCCGTCGCATAGGTAGTTCCTTCTTTCGAATGCCAATGTGATGTTTTTTGAAGAATTCCATCAGAAGGTGACTTGACCCGAACAATATACTAATAAATCTGCTGAACACTGAAAATTGCAAAAACAAATTTAATGAAGTTAAACGATAATTGATTGAGGAAGAGAAGCAAGCAGCTGTTTTTAAACTGAGTTTTACATCTATGAAAAAGCCATATCTTCAAGAACATATACATCAAGTTTCAAGTATCTCCTCTATCACTGGAAGCTATTTTCACTCCTAAATTAGTTTATTTTTAGCAACAAAGAAGGAGAAATCCTTCGAGTGCGTCACATGTAGAGTAGCAAACTCCCTCTAGCCTATCTATACTACATTAGCAATCCCAAGAAACATGTCCTGCGCAATTCTCCTACTACACCTCCTGCTACAACAGTTCCCACCACTTGGCTGGTGCACTTTGACTCTGACGACCATGGTTTTCATTAGCATTCTTTTTGACTATGGTTGGTAGTGTAAACAAAGAATCTCGAGATGAAGACCGCTGCTGGGTGCTGCTATACAGCGCAAATGGATTCACCAGAGGCGACGTCGACGTCGTAGTCGACGACGACGAAAACAACCACACGAATGTAGGACGACACAAAGAAAATTCGATTGGTTTTTTTTTTCGAAACGGAGGAAAGATGGAGCTGCAGTGGGTGGAAAATTCAGTCTGAGTGCTAGTGGCAGGTGGGTGGTACGGAGAAAGCGTCTGACATCAAAACCGTCTCGCGCGCGCTTCTCTTATTAGAGCTATGTGGGGCGATATGCGCTTTTGAGGAAAATACATATGGATTTAAACGTACTTCTAGTACTGTTATATCCCTGGACGATCGCAGGATTCTTTTTTTTTTGCGAATAAGTTGAAAGTATTCTTTGGCACATGCTTTTCTTCAACGCCAGCTGGATAATTCTCGATGAACATTTCAAATGGTCCTATCTGCTTTGATCGATTCTCTTCATCGACTTTCTCTTTCGTCAATAACTCAGCTGCAAAACCTTTCCCTGTTGTATTTGACGTTTTGGACGCTAGATAAGAACTTCCTTTATCAAACTATGTGGTAGAATTAACGCGAAATCTGTTTGCATAGCAGTGGTTATGAAAAGAGAAAGTCGATTAAGAGAATCGATCAAGGCAGATAGGACCATTTGAAATGTTCATCGAGAATTATGGTAGACATGTTCGGTTTCAACGTGCGCTAAACGGTAGCAATGGCATAAAGTACTAAATATCCTGTTATTCGAAATCCTCGTGGTGCAGTGACGATAATGACACCACAAAAACGAAAACGAAACAAGTAGGTAGTAAGACCAGATTGTTTCTTTTACAGATAATCAGCCCCAGAGACCCCTACCACTCACAACAGTAGCGCATGGGCGATTAAGGGGGAGGCACAGTAACCATCTGTATCTGAGGCGAGAAGAGGTACGTAGGTATACAAGAAATCGTCATCATCGTCACTGCACCACGAGGATTTCGAATAACTTTACCCGTACACACTATTGACACATGTGGGAGGAAAGGGATCCATCGAGAGAGACTCTCTATCTCTCGCTCTCACCACCAAAAACCAGGAGAGTGAGCAAGTTCTTTCTCACTGATCAAAAAGGGAACCGCGCAAAAAAAAACAAGGCAGGCAAGGAGAACGTGACAGACAGCCAAGAACTTTGTCTGGCTTTCTGCAGGAGGGAGCAAAGAGGCATATGCTTGCTTAACATGTAGAAAAGGTGAGGGGTGGTGAAATGGTTGCACAAACTGCAATCTTCGATGAAAGCATGAGAAAAGAAAGGTGCATTCATTATCAACAGCATTGTTTGCTCGCATGGGTGCAGAAAGATCAGGCAGGTTAAGTCTCAAAGGAAAAATAAAACCTTGCATAAGCTCTTCTCCGCACTATGCTCTCTCACAACGCCATTTCCATCCATATTGAAAAAATAATTCTCGTCAAACCATTGCACTAGTTTCGTGAAGGGGCCTTGAGGTTGTAATTATCCTACAAAGGATTGTTTGCTGAAAATTTTGTCAATACCTTGCGGATGCTCTATTTCCATATTGAACGAACACTTAATCACTACTTTGGTAGGTACTTACCCTCGAGCCATTTCCAAACTCTTGATGAGTTTCTTTATTTTCCAAATCTCCACATTGCGATCGGCGGAAGTTTCCTCGAACGACATCTTGCTGCTTTTGTTGCTGTTGTTGGTTCTGCTTGCTTGCTGTGACTACTTCCTCCTTGATCCTTCGGGCGACGGACTTTTCACGGAGAAAAACCCTTCTTCACGACTGCTGACCTCTTTCTACTCGTTGGCGTACTTCTTCTGCTGGACACGAAGACCAAACGATTCCACGGAAAACAAGAACGAAACAATAGGGAACACGATTAAACTGATTACACTCAAATACCCTCTATCCGCTAAGGACTAATTCTTCTGGCCTTTCACTGATCAAATGCACGGATTTCCGATTACTAATTGGTTAAAAAAAAAACGAAAAACTCGGAATTCGTGGCAAAAATGGCGTTCAGAAGCAGCAGCAGCAGAGATAGAGAGCCACACACAACACACCACCACGGCACGACACCACTCTCCACTCTGGCCGTATTTTTCGTTTTCTTATTTATTACACCTCTCGCGCGACGACGGAACTGAACACACTGTGTGGCTGTCTATATCAACTATCGCACCCCGACGTCGTGCAATGTAGATGGGGCCGCGAGAGTCTCGCTGTACTGCGTCCGTTCACTCACGGAATGATACCTCGCTCTCCTTGTTTCGCCAACAATAATGTTATTATCTCTCGATGATATTCGCAATCGCTCTCGCCTTTGGACTATAGACGGTTTTCACCAATATTCATGAAAAAAAAATCAAGCATGTGTACTACATAAACATACCGTCACTTGCAGTGGTAGCAGACAAATCGCAGAGTAAACACATAATTTGCGAACAAGTCAACACATGTGGAATGACGATTGTACGACATTTCGTGGAAACACATTTAGCTGCATAATGCCCCATTTCGCGGAATTCCAATTCATCATTTTACCAAATTTTGGAATCTTTTTAAAATTGGTTTAACTGATTGGTGCCAAAGACTATTATAAAAAAAAACACTCGAAAGAACTGCTCATGAAGAAAAATTCTGCTAAAATTATTAAATTCAGATTTTAACGGGCTATTCCACCAAAAGGATTTCCGTGAAATGGGTCATTCCGCGATATGACCTTCCGCGGAATGTCGTACAACCTGCAAAATTGAAAGCGACCGCTTCGTATTTGATCCTAAATGAACAGAATATACTTATTTTGGTTCAAAATATTGAAAAATCATTTGATTGTGCTGGTTGGACCGCCTCTCTGATCAGACGCCCATCCCTCTTTTTGAAAATGTTCAAAAACATGCTTTTTTTCAAACGTCGATATATCCGTGCCAAATGCTTCAGAAAATGCTAATGACTGTTTTCAGCTTGGAATTTTGCAAAGAACCTGAAAAAAGGTGTCTATTTTGGCAGTGTTGCCAATTATGTTATTTTTGCAAAAGTAATAATAACACTTTGACGAGTATGACAAAAAATATAATATAAAATGGCATTGCTGTTTTTTGCTGACGATTCACCAATAGTTGCTAAGGTTTCGCACTTTGTTCAGGATGAAATTAATAAATCCATTCGAATAGACGATACGATTCCGGATTAGAAATCAAACCTATAGGACTTGCTCTGATCTCTCCTGCAGTCAGTACTTCGTCCAATTCCCTGCAAGAGTTGATAAAGTTTGGTGATACCAGCACCGAAATCATAACCAGCAACAGCAACATCAGAGTCATCCATTTTTGCAATTAAAGTGAGCAACCAGTTGCTTGGTGCTTCAGGTAGCGACAATATCGGTAATCACGGTTCACATGGGTCAATTCCACAGGCATTAAGCGGTGTATAATTTTGTTGCAGGTATAATCATACTCTATGCCCAGGGAAGTAGGAGAAATTTTCCATCCCGAAATGTTTCTTGACCGGACCGGGAATCGAACCCAGCCACCTCCAGCATGGCCTTGCTTTGTAGCTGCACATTTACCGACTGTGCTAAAGGAGGCCCTATGTTCCTATCTACAATGATCGATTTTTTTTTAATATACAGTGCACTCTCTACAACTCGATATTGAAGGGACTATCGAGTTATAGAACAACAATTGTCACTGGAAATCGAGTTGTGGAGTTGACTGTAGTATTATATCTGTATTAATTACATCCAATTTTTCTGTCTTCAAATGACACTAAAATTGAATGCAAGAGATCAGAAATCACTCAAAAAAACATATCATACCCACCATCCAAAGTTTCTAGGATCACCGTAGATAAGGAAATTTGAAAAAAAGAATAACCGTGCAAAACACAATCGGATGCAATTGACGATTGATGATAATTATAATAATATTATAATAATATTGTATTTTGCATTTGAAACTGGACTCCTCAAAAATGCGGAATCACTCATAAAAGTGATATATCCTATTGGTGTCTTCTGCGCATTTATGCCTTATGTACCAAGGAATAACTTCGCCGTAGACACCTTAATGATTTATCGTAAAAGCGCACTTTTATAAGCGTTTCCGCACTTATATTGTTTATATTATAATCACTTTTACACTCTTGAGTCCGGGATTTTGCCCATGATGCCTTATTTATATTTTTCCTAAATGCCGAAATCTTGAAAACTTTTCTATACTCTATAGAATCTTGGTTTTGTTATTTTTTGATTTAAATATTTTTCATATTGACGGACTGCAATACTGGTATTCGTTTCTCCATACCGGGAGAGTAAACAATTGATTCGAATCGACAGCTCGAAATAGAGGGTCCGTCTTCGCATCACTCAGGGTCCTATCTATCATTGATTGATTTTCTTCATCTTTCTTTTTCGCCTAAGCAGTCAAGTTTACTCAACCCTTATGACAAATAAAATTGCTCGTTTCAACAACCAAAGGCCGCGTGGAATTTCGTGCAGACGCGTAAATTAACGGAATCTTACAACATCTGTTTTGTTTGACCTTTTTGGATGCTACGTAATACCTTTTTTATCAAACGATGTGGCGAAAATAGCACTTGGTGTGTTTGCACGGTCGTGATAATCCAAAGAGAATCGATCAATTTAGATAGGACCTATTGAAAAGTGACGCGAGAACTCATTAATGACATTTTTAAAAGTGACTAATTTCTTCGACACTAAAATACCTGTAACCTCTGTTGTAGCTACCTGCTACGTAGTGGAATATTTTTTGAATTATGGCTTACGTTAATTTTGTTGGTTGGCTGACATGTAACTGATGATGAAATCGATTTTGCTACTGTACTAAGGTAAGCTCAGGTAGACTTAAGAATTGTATGTATAAGAAATTTCACCATAGAGGTAAAACTGTGTAAAACGTTAGCAAACCCGTTTTACACAGTTTTACCTCTATGGTGAAATTTCTTGACCTACAATTCTTAAGTCTACGTGAACTTACCTTAGCATAGGAGCAAAATCGATTTCATCATCAGTTACATGTCAGTCAACCAACAAAATTTTAGCTCTTTTGATTGCCATGACACCTGATTTTGAGCTGATCTTTCCCGGAGCTACCCGAGGCAAGAGTGTGAAGTGATTGTCACGCCTTTGCACTTTTTTTTCATCAGATGTTACTATGAACGGAAAATACCCATTAAATGTTTTCCGAGATATTACCGGGGCAGCGCAGTCCTTTCAGAGTAAACGCCACCGTAAAAAAAAACATGTACTTAGATTCATATCATAGCACACTCTTTTAATAATTCTACATATATTTAAAGATTGCTTGCTTATCTCCGCCCCAATCAGAAATGACGGGGCTCAGCAAGCAATATTTTTATATAGAATGCAAAAAGTCGGGGCTCATAATGCGAATCTGAATGGGGATGTCCATTAACTACGTAGACAGTTTTTTGAGATTCTTGCAGCGAATAATTACTAACCCCCCACTCTAAACTGTCTACGTAGTTAATGAACAGCCCCAATGCATAAAAAAGCTCAACTGTATACTTAAGGCACCATCAGGGGTGCAAAGAGCCAACTGAAAGACACCCGACACTATCTTTAACCTTTCTACCAGTGTTAACTTTTTATGGAGTACGATCCGTAGATAGGTAAATTTGTTTCCATTGCATTAATTATTGCTAAATTTAATGACCATTTCCCAAAACCCGTCATTAAAATAATAAATAAAAATAAAGTGATGAGCGGGGAGTGAGCCAAAATTTTAAGAATCTGCCGAATTTCTTCGGCATTTAAAAAAAATCATGAAATTCCGTAGATCAGTAGTAAACTTAAAAATCCGTAGACCTACGGATAAACCCGTAGAACTGACCAAACTGCTTTCGATTTGCTCGATTTTCTGAACCACCATGATCCGCTGGGTCTGCCTTTGCTGCGACGTCCTGTCAGGTTGCAATCAAGCGCACGCCTGCAAATTTCGTTTCAGTCCTTTCGTACTGCCGAACATAAATAAGGGTACCGGTTATTGTTTCAGTGCCAGGTACTATATTCATGCCTATTCTGCGAGGCGTGTGACACTGTAAGCACTAGTGAGGTGACGAAGAGAGTCACACGTCTCGCAAAATGGCCTGATTGCGATGTGAGTGAGAGGGGAATAACACACCGTGTCGTCAAAATATGTATTTGGAAAGTTTACAGAATGAGCTCGAGATATTTAGGCTCTGTGGGGCTTGATAGTAAAGCGGGTAAAAAATGTATAGGATACAAATTACTGAATATGGTTGAAAGCGAATTATTTCCACTTTTCCAAATTTCGATATGGGGATTTTTATTATTTTTTACCACTGTGCGCCATCTGTGTTAAAAATAGCTCTGGCTAAGTGGTTAATTTAATGCATAGTGTTATTATCTTTAATTGCATCTAAACTTATACGTGTAAACGCATTACATCTTTCAAAAAGCGGCAGAGTTGACTTCCAATTATCTAATTTAAAAAAAAACGGGATTTACAGCCGTGCTTGCCAGGTACCATTTATTGTCCATTGTTTTTCTTTTTTTCCATCAAAACCATACAATGACAATCGGATTATCCTGATAATCCTCTCTCACGAGAGAAAACAATCGGAGCAACCCAAAATACACGCAAAATTTAAATTCACCACGATGACGAAAATGACTACTGCTATTGGTGGTACTATTCCCTCTCTCACTCACTCATTCACAAACTGCACACGTAACTCGTTTTTCCGAACCGAGTCCACCGATGATGTCTGCAGACCGCAAGCAAGGCTTTTCGACCACCACACCAGCGCTAGCTAACTACCCTGCTGTTGATGACGAATACTCTTTTCTTGCCTGCCTGCTGCCAGCCATTCGGTATCCAGGCCAGCTCATGAACAACAATTTCAACGGGGTGAGCGACGAGACACGGAACACGACGGAGGCATCATTCCGCGAGACTTCCCAGCCTGCCACCACTCAGTCAGCAGCACAATCATTGAACAGTCATTAAAAAATACTAAGAAGAACAAGACTGCGCGAAAGCCAACTAGCCAGCCAGCCAGCCACTCTCCGTGCACTCGATCTTTCACTTTTTTGGATCTGATTTTTCACACACTGGAAACCTACTTTTTCACGATCGAACACTCGACACACGACCTGGTGTGAATGGTGAAGAATTTAGCACAATTTTCTACGATTTTTGAACGATTTTAGCCAATACATCAGGCTTCACGGGCGCGGATACACACGGTTAAGAACTGGATCGGCATGTGCCAAAATGTGAAAAGGAATGAAGGCTACCTAGGCAGGGCCGCAGTCGGGCACCGACGGCTCGAATGTGATCTAATCATCGTCGATGGGGAATGGCAGTCAACTTCAGGTTGTTGATTTCGAGGCTGCTTTCTGAAAACGTCGTATAATAATTATTATTTATATTCTTCGATTTATGCGAGGATTTATGCTATGTTCGCTGACGTAAAGATTTTCGATCTATGTTAAGGTGATACTCTAGCGTGAAACTTTAAAGGCATAAATGTCAGCTTCCACAAAACATACAAATTTGAAATTACCGTGGACCCCTGTTAATCTGAACGACACTTCGTGCATTTTAACGGGGTTCATTTTAATTTGAGTTTCTGGTAACCAAAGTGAGTTTCTGGTAACCTTATTTGTTGCTTTGTTTTGGTTCTGTGTTCCGTTTCCGATCGTTCCATTTCACTTTACTCCATTCCATGTGCTAAATGACGTTTGAATTTTTTTTATTTTGCACGGTGTGCAGATTAGCGGGGTTCAAACTTAAGTGTTCAGATTAAAAACGGTCAGATTTCCGGGGGTCCACGATATTAACAACAATCAATACGAAACTAACGATTTCAAATTGGCTCACTACTTGAATAGCCTATTGGTCCCAAGCAAATCGACTAACGTACCCCATTCTAGTATAAATTCCAGTACTACATACAGTATGTTTGTTTTGATTCGCTATGAAAGTTTGACAGATAAAATGAGGGGTTAGTGGATTTTCCTATGTTTCGAGGGGTGAATCGATTAGCTTGGGACCGAAGGTAGTACCAGAGCTGAGCCAAAAGGTTGAGCACGTTATTTCGGGACCTTCTAGTCTTATAGTACGTTCAGACTACAGAGTTATAACATGTTATAGCGCTATCTTGATGGTGGTTTCTGTGTTGCAATTAGTTGACAACCGTTATAACATGTTAAAACCTACAATCAATACGAAACTAACGATTTTAAATTGGGTCACCACTTTAGTAGCCTATTGGTCCCAAGCAAACGATTAACGTACCCTATTCTAGTTGAAATTCTATTACTACACTATGTTTGTTTTGATTCGCTATGAAAGTTTGACAGATAACATCAGGGGTGTGTGGATTCATGCAGAACATGCAGGGGTGAGTGAAATAGCTTGGGACTGCTTGGGATTGTTGTTCTGGTACTGAGTGAGCCAAAAATAATAATGATTTTCTTCGGGACCCAGTGGTCTTAGAGTTACCTCTATGTTATAACTCTCCAGTCTGGACAGCGTTTTAGAGTTACCTCTATGATATTACCGTGGACCCCTGGTAATCTGACCTTTCTTAATCTGCACACTTTATAGTTTAAATCTAATATTTCAGTGCCAACATTTCAAAGGGGCGTAATAGCTTTTGTAAACAATGACTTTAGCCGTCAATTTCTCACGAATAAAATCTTACCTCTCCAAAATTACAATGCTAGCTGGTAGAGGAAACATTCCTCTACCTGCTGGTGTCATTATTTTTCATGAGTGAGATTTTATTCGCGAGAAATCGACGACTAAAGCCATTGTTTACAAATGCAATTACGCCCCTTTGAAATGTTGGCACTGATTTTTGCTTCCTTGGAAATCAAATTTTATTTGATTTTGAAATGAAAAACGATGTTATTATTATTATATTGAAAACGCTCGTGAAAATGCTGGTTTTTAAACTGACAACGTTTATTATTACCGTTAAAAATACCACATGTAATTTCAAAAAGTTGGTTTGAACTAGAGAGGGTATCTCTAGTTTGAACTGAAAATAATTCGATTTTAATTTCAACTCTGTCATGCTTTTCGTTTGACAGTAGTACCAACAATCAATACGAAACTAACGATTTTAAATTGGCTCACCACTTTAGTAGCCTATTGGTCCCAAGCAAACGATTAACGTACCCTATTCTAGTTGAAATTCTATTACTACACTATGTTTGTTTTGATTCGCTATGAAAGCTTGACAGATAACATCAGGGGTGTGTGGATTCATGCAGAACATGCAGGGGTGAGTGAAATAGCTTCCCTAATAAACGTGTACCATATACTGACGATATCTTAGATGGTGCGACCATATCACATAAAATTGGGATGATATCCCGAATTGGCGGTTAGGCGCATCTTATGGTTATTGTTTATGCGGGTTGGGACTGCTTGGGACCGTTGTTCTGGTACTGAGTGAGCCAAAAATAATAATGATTTTCTTCGGGACCCAGTGGTCTTAGAGTTACCAACAATCAATACGAAACTAACGATTTTAAATTGGCTCACAACTTGACTAGCCTATTGGTCCCAAGCAAACGATTAACGTACCCCATTCTAGTCGAAATTCTACTACTACACAATGTTAGTTTTGATTCGCTATGAAAGTTTGACAGATAAAATGAGGGGTTAGTGGATTTTCCTATGTTTCGAGGGGTGAATCGATTAGCTTGGGACTTAAGAGAGTACCAGAGCTGAACCAAAAAGTTGAGCACGTTATTTCGGGACCTTCTAGTCTTAGAGTTACCTCTATGGAGTTACCTCTATGGTAGTACCAACAATCAATACGAAACTAACGATTTTAAATTGGCTCACCTCTTTAGTAGCCTATTGGTCCCAAGCAAACGATTATCGTACCCTATTCTAGTCGAAATTCTAGTACTACGCAATGTTTGTTTTGATTCGCTATGAAAGTTTGACAGATAAAATGAGGGGTTATTGGTTTTTCCTATGTTTCGAGGGGTGAATCGATTAGCTTGGGACCGAAGAGAGTACCAGAGCTGAGCCAAAAAGTTGAGCACGTTATTTCGGGACCTTCTAGTCTTAGAGTTACCTCTATGGTAGTACCATAGAGATAACTCTAAGACCAGAAGGTTCCGAAGAAACGTGCTCAACTTTTTGGCTCAACTCTGGTACTCTATTCGGTCCCAAGCTAATCGATGCACCCCTCGAAACATAGGAAAATCTACGAACCCCTCCTTTTATCTGTCAAACTTTCATAGCGAATAAAAACAAACATAGTGTAAAACTAGAATTTCGACTAGAATGGGGTACGCTTATAGATGTACTTGGGACCAATAGGCTAGTCAAGTATAGTGAGCCAATTTCAAATCGTTAGTTGCCACCGGTTGGTAGTACAGTTCATTTTGAAAAGTTTAAACTTTTAAAAGTAGTGATCGGGAAATCAGTTCAGATCTGTTACAGATCTTCAGTAGATAATCGAAAAATAATACCACTCCCGATCGAAATTTGCAAGATGTGTAATAAAATATACATTATTTAAAGTTTTGTAAATCGTCATTATGATGTAAACAAATGGATTGGATGACATTTTCTCTCAAAATAGCCTAGTGCACTCTACTTTGATGATGCATCAAAAGAGTCTATAATAAGGAGCTGTTAATTAACTACGTAAGACATTTTTTTTTTATTATTGACCCCCCCCCCTCCCCCTGCATAGACAATTGTCCATACAAATTATTTAAAATTTGTATGGGCCGTGTAGGGGTTGACACTCCCCTAAACTGTCTACGTAGCTTATGAACAGCCCCTAGTAATAATAATAATTCAGTGCCAACATTTCAAAGGGGCGTAATTGCTTTTGTAAACAATGACTTTAGCCGTCAATTTCTCGCGAATGAAATCTTACCTCTCCAAAATGACAATGCTAACTGGTAGAGGAAACATTTCTCTACCTGCTGGTGTCATTATTTTTCATGAGTGAGCTTTTATTCACGAGAAATCGACGGCTAAAGCCATTGTTTACAAATGCAATTACGCCCCTTTGAAATGTTGGCACTGAATTAACAATAATAATAATAATAATAATAATAATAATAATTATAATAATAAAACACTTTTCTCTGACATCCGCAATTTATTTTCGTCGAATTGAAAATTTGTTCTAGACCATATTTATTTTCGATCACTGCTCACTCAAATTAGATTTCATTCGCCTCATAGGTCTGTTCCTTTCACTGGAGCTCATTTTGCACCATCGTTCATCCCGGACTCGGAGATGCTGTCAAACGAGAAAAGATACACAAACGACGTCTCCCAAAGTGAAACGCTGCATATTATTTTTCGTCCCGGTGGGAGAAGAATATCGAATAACTTCAAAACGTTTACAGTTCTAACTAATCCAACAATCGATGTGTAGTGATTAGAGTATTTTACATAATTAGTGATGTCGTAGTTCCAAGTTTAAACGAAATAATTCAACGGTAGAAAGTTAATGTTGCAGTATCCATATAGTAAAATCTAACCTACAAAACAATGTCCTATTTGTCGCGCCGAGAGCTGGAGGACATCCGTCCCTCTCTGGACAAACTTGTTTATAAGGTGCTGGGAAGTTCCGACTCCTCGGTGCTATCGACGATAGAGAGCAATTTGCACAGTGGCTTCGATCGTCGGAAATTGATAGAAAAGCTTTCGTCGTTTGTGGAAAGCAAGAGGGCAAGCCGGTTGTCGGACAAGGTGGAGGATTTGCTGGATGGACTAAAAACGTCCTCGCACCGGTCCAAGAAAAGAACCCACGAGGAGGATGGCCGGGAAAGGGATACGAAGAAGGTCAAGACCAAGTATGAAGAGGAGGGAAAGAAATCGACGGAGGAAAAAGCCAAGAAGGAGGGAAATGGAAGTGCAACCACGGATAAGGAGGATAAAGGGTCCAAGGACGATAAAGCAGCCCAGAACTTCTCTTCTAATCAGATCAAGATGATGATGGAAAATGCTCAGAAGGAAATTGAGGAGCGAAAGAAGAAATTAGAATCGATAAAAGCTGCCAAAGCACCACCACAATCAGCTGTAGCAGCGGCAGCGGCCGTTAGCGCAAAGATTACCGCTGCCCAAGCTAATATTGCTCCGGTTGTAGATTTGGAACGGTCTCGAAAGATAGCTCAACTTCAGGAACAAATTAGAGCAAAATTGTCTGGTACATTAGCTGCAGTTCTTCCACCGGTTGTCCAGGATAAACCAAAGCCTTTGATTTTGGATACCGAAGGACGAACTGTTGATGCAAGCGGTCAAGCAGTGGAAGTACCGAAATTAACACCCACTCTAAAAGCCAATATTCGTGCCAAGAAACGTGAAACAACCAAGATACATCAAGCGGAGAAGCAACAGCAGGAGGAATCCGCTGAGGCCCACTTTTTCGATGACCGAATTACCATTAAACCTGCCGTTCGTAATAAGCGTGCCCTACGGTTCCATGAACCGGGTAAATTTCAACAGATGGCAGAGCGCTTACGGATGAAATCTCAGTTGGAGAAGCTGCAAAATGAAATTTCACAAATAGCGCGCAAAACAGGCATCAGCTCCGCTACCAAGCTGGCTCTGATTGCCCCAAAAGCGGACACCCATTCGAATGAGGTCCCTCAGATGGAATGGTGGGACTCGGTCATCCTAACGGACGACCTGAACACGCTGGACAAAAGCGGCCGCATCTCGATCCGCGAGTCTGCAATCACGAATCTAATCGAACACCCAACGCAGATGCGTCCACCAAGTGAGTACTGGTTTTTGCATTTCCTTTGTTTCACCCCTGTTCTTAAGAAATGAAACTAGTTTTCATGATGTCTCTCTAATGCTGCGCGTATCAAATCATGGGAACGTTGCTCGTCCTGCGAAGGAATGGGGCAAAGTAATTTGCATCCCTTTGCATTTTTTTTTGCTGTTCGTCTAAAGACTTTCGAGAGCAATGCCCTTTTTCCCTTTGAATTCACTTCTAACGAGGGTTTCTATTTCTGTTTTTTTTTTCTCAGACGAATCATCCCGCCCCGTCTATCTGCCGGTATTTCTTACTAAAAAGGAGCGTAAAAAGCTTCGACGGCAAAACCGCCGAGAGGCATGGAAGGAAGAGCAGGAGAAGATCCGCCTTGGTTTGGAACCACCGCCGGAACCGAAACTACGTATCTCCAATCTGATGCGGGTTCTCGGTACCGAAGCGGTGCAGGACCCCACCAAGATCGAAGCTCACGTCCGTGAACAGATGGCAAAGCGACAGAAAGCACACGAAGAAGCCAATGCCGCCCGGAAGCTCACAGACGATCAGCGACGGGATAAGAAGGTACGCAAAATGAAGGAGGACACTTCGCTGGGCGTGCATGTAAGTGTATACCGGATCAGAGACCTTCACGATCAACAGAGCAAAAAGTTCAAAGTGGAAACGAACGCCAAGCAGCTGTTCATGACGGGGGTTTGCATTCTGTTCCGGGACTGTTGCGTGGTTGTGGCCGAAGGTGGACCCAAGCAGCAGAAGAAATACAAACGGCTCTTGCTGCATCGCATCAAGTGGGAGGAGGATTCGGTCAAGAATGCCGATGGCAATGAGGTACCCAACTCGTGCGTCCTAGTGTGGGAAGGTACGGCCCAGAGACGTCACTTTGGGGAATTTAAATACAAATCGTTCCCGATGGAGAAGAGTGCCCGGGAGTTCTTCCAGAAACATCACGTGGAGCACTACTGGGATCTGGCCTATTCGGGAGCCGTTCTGGAGGCATCGGAGGACACGTAAACGGGAACCGGAATCGCATAACTATTAAGGATTATTAACCTATTAAGGTGAGTTTGTTGATGATTGTTAGTTTTAATCGTTCTTCGAAATTCAAAATCGATTCGACGTTTTTTTGTTGATGAGAAGAAGAAAATAGGGTACTAACTGCTAACGAGGCGCGAGACGTGAAAATACTAAATTTAGTTGAAATAAATTTGGGTCATTCTAGGCTATAGACCGAACATTTGTCCATTTATGCCGAAAGTCCGTTCTATTGTAACCAGGCAGAACAATTTCATAACTCTTCGTCGTGAAATAACGTTATCTGTTGTAGCCTGAGGGTCCGGGTTCAATTTGAAATTTCAAGTGTTTTGTATAGTGTGGGGAAGTAAAACTGTGCTCATGAATGGGATATTTCGATGGTAACGGTGTTAATGCCACGAGATCTTCGTGATACGGAATGTTAGTTCCTTAAGGAAAGACCGCAAGTCAGTTCCATCTGGATGTTTATCAATTTTGAGTTAGCATCATTATTCGGGTTATCTTTCTATGTTTGTTGAGCTGAGTAGTAAACCAGTATGCAAAATTGGTCGCCACAAGGCCACCGAGCTCCTTATATCACAAAACAATTATAATCCAGTTCCCGCTCAACTTGCTGACACTAGATTTCGATCCCGGCTGCGACGTCACTGACGATGACAACAACTGGTCTTGATATGGATTTGATATAAATGCTCGATCAACACGTTAGCGTTAGCGTCAGCGTTGTTCATTTATTTATTTATTTATTTCGTCAACCAACGTAGACTAGTACATATTCGAATACAGTTTTGTTTTCTTAAATTTATTTATTTGTTTCGTCAACTTTGGACAAAAGGTTAAAAGTATAATTTTGTCTTTAATAAAAATTAAGCGGTGTCAGCTTTCTTATTTTTTTATGAGTTATAATGCCTTATGGAGTAAAAATATTCTTTTAGTTTATGCCGAGACATTGTAAAGTCAATGGTTTCGCAGTATTGATTGTAAGAGGCCATCATGCGGTTTAATGGCCCATATTTTGCATAATTTGTGCGGTGATGTTTTATGGCAAATAAATCGATTTCGGAGTTGCATGGAGTAGGTGCATGGAAATTTAATTTTGGTAAAAGTTCTGTGTAGTCAATGCGCTGCGAAACGATATCGTTTACAAATGAAACCATTGCACATTCACGACGCTCTTTTAATGTTTGTATGTTTATAAGCATGCAGCGTGCTTCATATGATGAAAGAGGAAATGATGTCCAACCTAATTTACGAAGAGCGTATAATAGAAATTGTTTTTGTACGGATTCTAATCTTTTTTCGTGCGTGATTGAAAAAGGAGACTATACAATGCTGCAATATTCCAGTTTTGACCTCACATAGGCAATATATAGTGTTTTAATTGTGTATGGGTCCTGAAAGTTACAGCAAAAGCGCTTGATAAAGCCTAGCATGTTATTTGCCCTGTGAATAATTGTGTTGTAATGGTCTATGAAAGTTAGTTTAGAGTCTAAGATAATTCCTAAATCCCTAACTCTTTCACATTTTTCTACATCTTGATTTCCTAGTGCAATTGAAATATTTGAAGTTGTTCTTTTCCTGCTAAATGATATTAAGTTACATTTTTTTACATTCAATTCTAGTAGACTTTTTTTGCACCATATGTAGCATATGTGTATGTCATTCCGGAATATATTGATGTCTTCTTAATTTCTTATTTCCAAAATGAGCTTCATGTCGTCGGCATAAATAAGCAATTTAAGTTTTTTGAGAATGAAAGAAATGTCGTTTACGTATAGAATAAAAAGAAGAGGTCCCAAATGATAGCCTTGGGGGACGCCTGAAGTGACTTGAATTGGACTCGATTTCTTTCCGTTGAATTTAATTATTTGTTGGCGGTTAGCTAAATATGATTCAAGCCATTTTAGGAGCCCTGACTCAATTCCAGTTTTTTGCAATTTAAAAAGTAGCATTGGTATGTCTATGCGGTCAAATGCCTTGCTAAAGTCTTATAGAGAGCTTCTACGTGGTTTCCATTATCCATTGCATTCAATGAATAGTCTATAAATTCAAGTAAATTCAGTGCTAACATTTGAAAACGGCGCAAAAGCCATTTGTAAACAAATGGTTTGTGGGCCCTTTACTCGCTACCCGAAGAACGCCCACGCAAACCAACAGCATCGTCAGGAAGGGGAAAATTTCCCCTACCCGATGTTGCTGTTGTGTCGCGTGGGTGTACTTCAAGTAGTGAGTAAAGGGCCCACAAACCATTTGTTTACAAATGGCTTTTGTGCCGTTTTCAAATGTTAGCACTGAATTTGTCGAGGTCGAGCGACCCTTGAAAAAAAAAAACCGTGTTGCATGTCAGTAATTCTATTTTTGATTTGGAGAAATAATTTTTCGTTGACAAGCCCCTCGCTGCCAGCGCACCTGATGTTGCATAAACCTTGCACCACGCATACACATACAACAGACGGTCGGAAAGCGGCATGACAGGTAACGTCAACGGCTGTCAAAGGGTGAGTAGGATAAGGAAAAACAACAAAACATAAAACACAATATCATCAAAACAGAGTGTGCAGAGAAATATTATTCTAAGTTACTACTAAAATTTAACTTAAATTAGTGTGTTAACCTAAAGGAGCTTACGATTAGTGTTTGCTGACGTAATGCTAGGTAATTATATTGCATTGAATTATTGTTATTGAAATTAATGAAATATGTAACATCTAGCATTGCATTGCGTCGTTACCACCTATTTCGAGCCAAACCTAAACTTATCTGCTAAACTGCACAATCACGGTAAGGAAAATTCAGTTAAACTTATGCTAAAAATTGATTATATGCTAATTGTAAACAGTGACTCCAGCGAAAATATACGATCCGACTAGACAGGGACTAAACGTAAGTCAACTTTTCGGTCAACTTATTGTACAGACATACATTTACACCCACTTATGCATTAACCAACATAGAAAAATGTTAAAATATGAATTCACACACACTACTGAATTATATACAACTAACAGAATTCATGTACAACCTTGTTCCCCACCAGGAAAATTATAATCAACCGTTTAACAACACCCACATTCTGTGTTTCATTGCGGTGATTATTATTTTGGAAATAACCCTTGCAGTACCGTTGGTCCGAAAACCAACAGCCTCGAAAAGTTTAGGAATGCAACAGATAATGGCTATACCACGATAATTACGTACGTCAGATTTTCGGCCAGATTTAAAGATAGGCACTAGGAATGAGCTTTTCCAAGTTTTTGGGAAGGTTCCAGATTCCAGGGACATATTAAAAAAATATTCGGAATACTTCGTAGATTGGATACTAGTGACACTCACGTCTTTTTTTAAATTCTTAGTCAGACTACTTTCAGGAATAATGCTGGGGAGTAAAACTTATTTCCAATCTAAACAAGAATACCCAAAGCATTACTGGCATTACTGTCGCTATTCTCGGCCACGCCCATCTTTTCCGTTACTAGGTATAGGGGAGGAAATTTTGATGTAGTACTTACTCAACGAGAGGCCACCAACTCACAAGTACTACGGAGTTGGAGAATTGGGTAGGGTATTAAGTCAGGATACGGCCAAAAGCATGTTTTTTTTAGGATCATGAAAATAAACCCACGATCTGCTGCTCAGTAAGCAAAAGCGGCAGCCGCTAAGCTAACCGAGTTCCTCAATTTGTTTTATAGTAGGGTTAACTACCCCATTTCCGGCCTATTAAGCACAACTCGCACTTAGTCTTTTTTAATCTAGCTCAGCTTAGCACCAAACGGAATATTATTATTACTGATGGCTTTCAAAATTATTTACCTTTCCTTACGTACCTTAAGATTTGATAAAGAGAAACAAATTTTTGAGATATTGTTAAAAGTCTAACACTGCTTCTTGACGCCAAACTCGGCCTATGGATTCTAAACTCGGCCTAACGCATTGAAACGCCAATAAATTCACTTCGGCCTATCGGATGAATATACAAATTGATTCGGTCGGAGCGCTTCATTTGTTTTTGAGAATATTTGGTGCAAGCATTCATATCACGCGTTCTTATTGACTTCGTTCGGTAGCATTTGAACTAAAGTATTGTATCAAACGCAGGACCACCAACTATCGACGGAGGACATAACGATTTTACGAACCGTATCTACACCATGGAAATTGGATGTTGCAGAAAGCCTCGAGATCAACAAACAACGTAATTCAACTTTACTCAACAGGGATCAAGGAAACGGACACACATGGCTTTTCAAGTTACTACCTAGGACACATCAACGAGTAAGCAGCGGAGTACCTGTTCCTATAGAAAATTAAATTTAAGTTTACCTAGTTTCTAAGTGAAAATGTACCTGTGTTAATATATATTCGGTAAATGCGATGTTTTTCTTCAGTCGAGTATTAGTACAAGACACTGAAGAAGTCTGCACATTGTAGACGAAATACGCGTATCTGTCAAGGATAAGCAAATCAAGTAGTGGAATTAAATGGAAAATACTAATCCTTCTCTCTCTCATTATACAGGTATTCCACTAAGACGCCTACATTCATCAGGACGCATAATTTACCTTTTAACGTCGAAATCATTGATTTATTTGATGTTTTCTGCTTGATAGGCCCAAAATGGGCGCTTAGACCGAAGTAATTCTCTTACTTACCTTACCAATCAGGCTAAGGCCTTGTTGTCCTCTGCTGTCCGAAGAAGTCGTCTCCACTCTACTCGATCCATGGCCACAGTTCGCCAGCCTCGTAGTCTGCGAAGGGTCCGCAGGTCACCTTCTACTTGGTCGATCCACCTTGCCCGCTGCGCGCCTCTTCTTCTTGTTCCTGTTGGGTCGCTTTCTAGAACCATTTTCACTGGGTAGTCGTGCGGCATTCTTACGACGTGCCCAGCCCACCGTAGTCGCCCAATTTTTGCAATGTGGACGATGGATGGTTCTCCCAGCAGCTGGTGCAATTCGTGGTTCATTCGCCTCCTCCACGTTCCGTCATCCATCTGCACTCCACCGTAGATGGTACGCAACACCTTCCGTTCGAAAACACCAAGGGCGCGTTGGTCCTCCACGAGCATAGTCCAGGTCTCGTGGCCGTAACGGACCACCGGTCTAATCAGCGTCTTGTAGACAGTCAACTTCGTGCGGCGGCGAATTTTATTCGACCGGAGCGTCCTCCGGAGTCCAAAGTAGGCACGATTCCCTGCCATAATGCGTCTTTGAATTTCTCTGCTGGTATCATTTTCGGCGGTCACCAGTGAGCCCAAATACACGAACTCATCGACCACCTCGATTTCGTCACCGTCAATCTGAACTCGGGGTGGGAGGCTAACATTGTCTTCCCTAGAACCTCTTGCTTTCATATATTTTGTCTTTGATGCGTTGATGGCAAGTCCAATCCGTCTAGCTTCAGCCTTCAGTCTGATGTACGTTTCCGCCATCATCTCAAAGTTCCGTGCCATAATGTCAATGTCATCGGCGAAACCAAGGAGCTGGATGGACTTCCTGAATATCGTGCCACTCGTGTCTATCCCAGCTCTTCTGATCACACCTTCTAACGCGATGTTGAACAGCAGACACGAAAGTCCATCACCCTGCCGTAACCCCCTTCGAGATTCAAAGGGACTCGAGAGTGTCCCCGATACTCGAACAACGCACGTCACTCGATCCATCGTCGCCTTGACCAATCGCGTCAGTTTATCCGGAAATCCGTACTCGTGCATAATCTGCCATAGCTGATCTCGATCGATTGTGTCGTATGCGGATTTGAAATCGATGAACAAATGATGTGTGGGCACGTTGTATTCGCGGCATTTCTGCAGAACCTGAAGTAATTCTCTACCCTACCGTATTAGTGAAATTTATATGAAACACAATGTTGCGAACTAATTAAATAAAAGGAAGGATCACCCGAACAGTCCTTGAAGCTTCCTAATGCAGTAAGCATCTGCTGAAGTCATCTTGCAAGAGTAGCTGAAGTCCTCTGTAAGAGTAGCATGGACCAGTGGTGATCAGAAAACGCGACCGGCTGAACCTGATAAAGAATTGCAAGACGTCAAATGGCACGAAGGGACATTACGAGAAGACGACACTAACGTCAACACCAAGATACTGGGAGGCAAGGTGAGCCGACCAACAGAAGCTAACTGGACCCAGGCCATGCGGACGTTACGATATCTTCGATCAACAGCAAATTTGATCCGGCACACCAGGATTATTTAAACTATTTAAACCTTACGTTGATGCAGTCTTGGCTTGTGACAAAGAAGACAGAAAGTCCAACACCGGGTTTGTTTTCTATCTTGGAGGAGGCATTTTACACTTCCTACTAACAAAAATCCCTCCCGTGATAACCGTGGAAATGTAGAGGTTAACTCGATCTATATAGTAACAACAGTCCAATTAACAATACTAACCGTTCTCAATGACCACAAGGGGTGTCCGGCGCCATTATTGACAGAATAAAGTACTGAGCTTCCAAAACAGTTACATTCAGTCAGAATTTTCAGCTCAACTTAAGCTGCATTCATTTGGTTCATGGTTCATGGAGTATCAACTACGATGTGCAGCCATTCAAGCGCGATCTCAAGCTTGGGGATGGTCCATTAATTATGTCACGCAAATTTGGCTCATTTTCAAACCCCCCCCCCCCTCCCCCCTATGTCACATTTTTTTGTATGAACCTTAATTTTTTTTGTATGGCTCAAACCCCCCCCCCCCTAAATGTGTTACATAATTAATGGACGACCCCTTGGTTACTTTTCACTGTTGTCCTCGGAATCCGGGGTCGTCACGTCTTGTCTATCCCCTCTTCATTCAGCTTCAAAATGGTGAGTCGACAATCTGCAAGGAGCGTAATACTTAGCTTTGATCCACACAAGTTCCTACCTTACGCCTCCATGAGTCATATGATTACAAACGACTACCAACTATAACTTTTCAGCCTTTTGGGATTCGACCTTCCGGATTCTGTCATTTGAGAATTCAGTCTTTTTTTAAGTTCTGCCTTTAGACGTGAGATCGATTTTTGATGTAAACTTTAAGGGTGCTCATCTTGTCCCAGGTGGCGATTTTGCCCCGTCCACCCCTATTCCGATTTACGATATATCGGATACGCCATAAAAAAAAAGTTCTTTTTGCGTGTCCGATACGTCGTAAATGGCAATAATTGAAAATTATGCGTGCATCGTACAATGTAATATTACGCAACGGATGTGGATCTGGTTCGATGTAATAAAATTCGATTTTAATTCAAAAACTGTTACGCTAGCGCACCTACCGATAGAGAGAACTTACACCGTTGTACTATATTCGGTGGCAGTGTTACAGAAACAGCATGCTCACATAATCTGTTTGTCTCAGAAAACTAGCAGTGCCCTAATTCCAGCTCTATCTAGAACTGTTGCATTTGAATCATTATAGATATGTCGTTTCGGTTGTTCAAAAGAATCTGTAATTTGGAGTACCGCATTACCTTGAACTTGTATGCAAGTTATATGGTTCAATGATCATCATTCAGGGGAAACATGTCAGAAGGGTATAACTCGAAACGTAAACAATGACTTTGAACGTCGATTTCTCTTGATTTCACAGAATCTGACTACACCAGCTCATAGAACAAACATTGCTCTGTCAGATGATTTAGTTAGTTTGAGTGGGTGTATTGTCATTCGTAAAAAAAACCGACGATCCAAGTCATTGTTTACGTTTTGAGTTAGACCATTTTGACATGTTTCCCCTGAATTCCTAACGTCATCATCGAATGTCATCTCTTTGACATGATGATGATTTTCCCACAAACTGTCTTGTTCAGGTGAAATCCTTCGCAGTTCCGCGTACATCAGGTTCCATCGTATTCCGGAGATCGTAAACGCAAATCCCAGTTCTACTTCGCTAGCAAGTGTGCAAAGACGCGGCTATTCTTACGACGATGGCCGGTACCAATTTCGACGTGGACAAGTACAAGACCTTCTACGAATGCGACGAACACTGGGAACTGCGTCGTATGTTCATGGAACGGCACAAGGATCGCTTCGAGGAGGATGAACTGGTTTGCCTGGCGCAGGTGTTCACCAACGTCGAGTTTCTCGGCTGTCGCTACCCGGCGGAAACGATGACCCTGATTGCGGAACTGTCGAAGGACGTCGCGTCCGAGTACCGGCAGTCGAGGGAAAACAAACTGAAGCGGACGTTCGTGGCGGCGTCCGATGCTGCTGCTGCGAGATATGCCAAGAAGTAGTGGGACCGTTTGAAGATAGGTATTTTAGGGTTTTACGAAGATTAGGATAAGTCTAAACATTTTCTTTAAATACTGCACATTTATTTTTCAATCATTTTATTGTAATGATTTTAGGATAATTTAGTGGCGTATTTCATGTATAAGTTGAATTTTTGTAAAATTAAAAAAATATATAATAAAGAAAAAATAAAAGTGTTCTTCCTAATACTAAAACTTGATTTGTAATTTTCTTATTAAAAGAAACACAAATTTTGAGTCGAGATATTTTTTCCAGGAATTTCACTCCCGCATAATTCAATAACTTAGTTCAAAGTACAGTTTTCATATTTAAATAGGGTTCTTTTTTTTTAGGAATTCTATGGTAGAAAAGACCAATAAAAATTGCTTTCTTAAAAACGAATACGCACAGTTCTACCCTGCTGTAATATATATATATAACCTACAACACTCTATTCATAGTCCGAGAGTATGGTACAACTGGGTCGAGCTAGTTTGAAATTTCGCACACCTTCCGCCGTGACCGAGGTTCCGGTAACGTCCAGCAGTTTCAGATTCGGTGCAGCTGATTCGAGATGATCCAAGGACGTATCCGTCACCAGTTTGTAGTTCCGCACGAGCAACCTCTCCAGGCTGGTCATGTTTGGTCGGAAGTACTCCCGGATGAATGCGGCCCCTCCGAGTTCGTGCCGCGAGACACCGTACGCGCAGATGCCGCGATCACTCACCAGGGAGACGTAGTTTGGTCCTGGAGCTCCTGGACCTAGGTTAAGATACTGGTAGAATGCGTTGGCCGGTCGTTGCTGATTGTTATCGGCTGCCTCACCTGCACCTCCTGCGGGATTGTTTTCCCCTCTGACGATGATCACATGTGGCATCATCCTAGGTTGGTTGTTCTGTATGGCTCCGTGCAGAATGACACGAACTGTGAAAAGAATGTTCAGGTTTGGAATAAACCTTCTAGTGTATGGAATCACCGGGATGAATAAGCAAAGCACCTACCATTAACATCCTCCTGTGGCTGTGGCGGTGGGTCTCGTCCATCGACGGCTGCTGCTGCAGCAGCGACACCAGGTCGTTCGTCATTTTCGCCGTTTTCGTTCTCATGTCCATTCACATTGTCGTCACCTTCCACTGGGCCGTTTGCCACAGCTGCTGCTGGCCTTGGTTCTCCGTGTGCTGGAACATCAGCCTGCGCTGCCCCTACGATTGGGCCATTTTCTACACGATCTCTATTACCTGCTTCGAAAATCTGCTGATAGGCCACCTCCACCGGTAGTCGACCGATTGGCTGGTGGTTCTGTTGCTGTTCATTGTTGTTATTCTCGACGTTATTGTTTCGCTCCGGATGATTAACAATCCTTATAATATTGTGTCTGTTGTAAACGATCCGTACATGACGTTGACGAATTTCCGGATTCTCTGGCAAAGGTGGCAGTGGTGCTAGCGGAGCAGGCGGTCGCGCTGGTTCCTCATGCCCCCCTGCCGCAGCACCAGCATCGGCATCAGCTGGTGCTTCATTATTATTATTCTGTTGCTGCTGCTCCGGTTGATTAGCAGCAGCAACAGCGGGATCCAGTTCGGCACGGTTGATGAAGCGAATTACATTCTCACCAGCATTTTCATGCAGGTTGGGGAAGAAGTGACGATTAACGAAGCGGAACACGTTCCGCCCTTCACCGAGAAAGTGTGGCCTCGGAGGACGCGGGGGTGGAATCGGTTCAGCCACAGCATTGTCCCCTTCCGGTTGTTGAGCATTGTCCTGCGGATTGGCAGCCGCATCACCTCCGGGATGGTAGCGTATGTTGATGATATCTTGGTTTGCTATTCGCCTCAACTGTTCGACTCGCTGCCGTTCGGCTTCATTGTATTCATTCAAACCACGCTCGGTCCGAAGGTATTCCGGACATTCCAACAGCAGTTCTTTCAGCGATTGGACGATGTTGAAGCAGCTGACGTCGGAATCCGAGATGGGGGTGTCGCGAAGATCCAGGACCTGAATGTGTATGTTTGGAATAGTATTCGATTGATAGTTCACAGATTGAGTGACCAGACGTTCCGGACAACACCATGTTGTTATCATTTGTTTTAGGGTGCCAAATGATGCTCTTCCGTAGAGAAACCGGACAGAGTGTTCAAATTTGCACACAAGTTAGCTTTTCACAGTTGAAGAGGCCAATGAGTTTACTGGCATGTCCGTCCCATTGGGACAACCAATTTAACTGTCTTTCCAAACTTTTCCAGAACAAAGTTTTTGAGTTCATTCAGTATTATGACAATAAGCTACCATTTGTATTGACAGTTTTGACAAAAACGACTATGGGACGGACATGCGAAGAGCGGCAGTTTAGTCAAGGAAAGTATGGGCTCACCAACACCAATTGAGAAGAATGTTGTCAGGAAACAACCCGACTCTATCCTAGCTGGCACGGAACTGAATCAAGAACAAATACGGTACAAACAATCCAGAATGACAGATCTGATCACTCAAATGGTTATCACCGTAATGGAAATCTAAAACCATCCCACTTACCTCCAATTTCTTAAACCCAAACCGTGTGGCAATACTAGCGTACGGGACGCTATCCTTCATATTCGCGCAACCTCGCAAGCTCAAATAGCGCAAGTGTGGCACCTTGGAAAGTGCCATAAAATCGTGCGTATCAAACCAACTGCAGTATTCTATTGTAAGTTCCTGGAAGAGAAAAGAAAAAAAAACGTTATTCTAACCAAAACGAAATTCCACAACATCAACTCACTTCCAACTTTTGCAATGTTCTATCGATCTTGGACAGGAATCCCATTCGGATTTCGGACGCCATGGAACGGTCGGCTTCACACTTGCGAAAAACCAACGTCCGGATGCTCGGTGGAAACGAAATGATCGCCATGTTGTTGGTATCAAAGTAACCCTCGTTGATTTCGAAGTGCTCCAACTGGGGACAGTATTTGTTGATCCACATCAGCAGGTTCGCAGTAAGTGTCGGTGTTTTCCACTTATCCAGCGGATACAAACTAGTCAGGCCTCTGATCTTCAGCGAGCGGGTTTCTGCCTGCAAGTGTTTAATCTTCCGTTGTAGCTCCTGGGTACCCAGCCGAGATGAGCTGAAATCGGCCGACGTCCAGAGCTTCTTGTCCTTGACCAGGTTGTTCAAACGAAGACAGCACGCGGACAGGGCAACCAAGCTGTTGCTATCCAGGTTGAGAAAGATTTCCATCAGTATTTCATCGCTTAGGTCCATCAGCGACACCTGCAGCTCAATGTCGGACAGTTCAACCGATAGGATCTTCATGTTCGGTTGCTCACTAGTACACTCATCGCTGGAAAGCTTACGTTTGCGGCCAGTACTGAACGCCGCCGCTGAGGTAGATGCCTGCGGGGCACTGGCTTCGGTTGAATCCATGTCGGTCGGGTCTCTTTTACACCCCCCCTTGATGGATGTGTTCTCAGGTTTTGAGATAGTGTTGACTCGTGTTGGCTGTGTTGCTGGAAGGAAGTTACGGAAATCAGTATTAGCATTCATAATGATTGTATTTTTATGGTAGGTTTATGGGATTTTGGAGCCGTTTATAAACTACGAAGATAATTTGGGGGGTGGTAGCAAATTTCTATCGTTCATAATAATATGACGACCAATCTCTATTTAAAATCTCTTAAAAGTTGTCTTGTTTATGAACAGCACAACTTTTAGACATTTTGAAAAATTAACAATTTTCAATACTCAACATGGTGTTATATAGGGGAAATGTCTCTAATGTTCATCGCTAAAAGTCTGCTCTTTATCAATTTTATCTAGATGAACGCGTTATTGGGACGTTACTAATGGATATTTTTGGTTGCTATGGAAAATGTAGTCGATTGCTGAATTTATGTATGGGCCCAAATTAGGGACACTTAGGCCGACATAACCTGCATTTCCCCTATATAAAAAGCGACAGCTAAATATATATATAAAAAAGGAATACTGACTAGCTTGATTTCAGCTATGAATGTCACTAAAGAAAAATTTGCAACGTCCCCCTTAATTAACACTCCGAATACGATGCCTCCGAAAAACGTGTAACGGCAAGTTTGCAATGGCATAACTTAGCCATTTCTTAATGAATTTCAAAAATTGTGGTACCTTTAGAATTCCTAGGGTTTGTAGATGGTTTTGATTGCAATTGAAAAAGATTGAAAATAGAGTCGTCTACTTTTTTAAAAAGCGAAAAGAGTTGTTGCACTTTTTTTTGAAAAGTGTGTTTGTAGGGTTTTGCAAGTGGCGCAATATCTGTAATTTAGATTAATGGGCACAAATGTTCACAATTAGCCAGAAAACAGTCATAGTTCCTATATATGGATCCTGGAGACAACGGAACGGTCCTAAAAACATCCGGAACATCCGTAAAAGCGGTCAATCCATGAACCTGATCCTAGAGCTCTGCGGTTTTTTGAAAACATTAGGAACTGTAACATAAAAAAAAATTGGGGTCGTGACATTAACATGTACCTGAATGGCCATGAGACCGTCCTCCGGAAGATCCGGAACATCCGTAAAGGGGACAATCCATGAAACTGATCCTAGAGCTCCACGTTTTTTAAACATTAGTATCTGTGATATAAGAATTAATTTGGGACATGGACCCAGATGGCCATCGGACGTCCAGTGGAAGATCCGGAACATCCGTAAAAGTAGTAAATCCACGATCCTGATCCTAGAGCTTCGCATTTTTTTAACATTAGGAACTGTGATGATAGAAGCAATTTGGGGTTGTGACATAAACATGAACCTTGATGGCCATGCGACCGTCCTCCGGAAGAACCGAAACATCCGTGAAAGTGGAAAATTCACGAAACTGATCCTGAAGCTCCGTGGTTTTTTTGAAAACGTTAGGAACTGTGATATTAGAATGAATTTGGGATCGTGACATAAACATGAACCCAGATGGCCATCGGACCGTCCTGCGGAAGATCCGAAAAATCCGTAAAAGTGGTCAATGTATGGAACTGATCCTAGAGCTCCACGGTTTTTTCGAAAACACTTGGAACTGCCATATATAAATTAATTTGCGGTCGTGACATAAACATGTACCTAGAAGGTCATGGGACCGTCCTCCGCGAGATCTAGAACATCTTTAAAAATTGTCCATCAATGAAACTGATCCTAGAGTTCTACGGTTTTTTCGAAAGCATGTGGAACTGCGATATAAGAAAGAATTGGGGGTCATGATATAAACATGGACCCAAATGGCCATGGGGCCATCTTCTGGTAAGTCCAAAACATCCGTAAAAGAGGTCAATCAATGAAACTGATCCTAGAGCTCCCCAGTTTTTTTTTCCAAAAACATTAGAACTGTGATATAAGAATGAATTTGTGGTCGTGACATAAACATGTACTTAGATAGCCATGGGACCGTCGTCCGGAAGATCAACAACATCCGTAAAATGGTCACTCCATAAAATTGAGAAGTGGAAGCATTACTATGACGAGCACCTCAACGGTAATGCAGCAGAAAACGAAGGTGGCACGGCAACAGACCTTGGAGCACGCGCAGAAGACGACAGGCTACCGGCTCCTGATCTTCAAGAAGTTGAGGAGGAGATCGGTCGGCTGAAGAACAACAAAGCAACTGGTGTAGATCAACTACCAAGTGAGCTATTAAAATACGGTGGTGAAGTACTGGCTAGAGCGCTGCACTGGGTAATTGCCAAGATTTGGGAGGAGGAGATATTACCGGAGGAGTGGAAGTTGTTGTATGCCCAATCTACAAAAAGGGCGACAAGTTGGATTGCTGCAACTACCACGCGATCACAATGCTGAGCGCCGCCTACAAGGTACTTTCCCAAATTATATGCCGCCGCCTGTCACCATTTGCAAGAGAGTTCGTGGGGCAATACCAGCCGGGATTCATGGATTCATATTCGCCAATCGATCCTAGAGCTCTGCAGTTCTTTTTTAAACACTGTGATATAAGAAACCACTTGATCACTTTTACGGATTTTCCGTATCTTCCTATGGCCATCCAGGTCCATGTTTTTGTCACGACCACAAATATCACAGTTCCTAATGTTTTTGTAAAAAAACTGCGGAGCTATAGGATCAGTTTCATTGATTGACCTCTTTTACGGATGTTCTGGACTTACCAGAGGATGGCCCCATGGCCATTTGGGTCCATGTTTATGTCATGACTCCAATTTTTTTTCTTATATAGCAGTTCCACATGCTTTCGAAAAAAAACGTAGAACTCTAGGATCCGTTTCGAGGATTGACCATTTTCAAAGATGTTCTAGATCTTGCGGAGGACAGTCCCATGGCCTTCTAGGTACATTGGTACATGTTTATGTCACGACCGTAAATTAACTTATATATGACAGTTCCAAGTGTTTTCGAAAAAACCATGGAGCTCTAGGATCAGTTTCACACATTGATCACTTTTCCGGTTTTTTCGGATCTCCCGGAGGACGGTCCGATGTCACGATCCCAAATTCATTCTAATATCACAGCTCCTAACGTTTTCAAGAAAACCACGGAGCTCTAGGATCAGTTTCGTGAATTTTCCACTTTCACGGATGTTTCGGATCTTCCGGAGGACGGTCTCATGGCCATCAATGACCATGTTTATGTCACGATCCCAAATTCATTCTATCATATCAGTCCTTAGTGTTTTTCAAAAACTGCGGAGCTTCAATCAGTTTCATGGATTGACCACTTTTACGGATGTTCCGGATCTTCCGGAGTACGTATGGACATCCAGGTTCATGTTTATGTCACAACCCCAAATTGCTTCTATCATCACAGTTCCTAATGTTTATAAAAAAAGCGGAGTTTTAGGATCAGGATCGTGGATTTACTACTTTTACGGATGTTCCGGATCTTCCGCTGGACGGTCTGATGGCCATCTGGGTCCATGACCCAAATTCATTATTATATCACAGTTCCTAATGTTTTCAAAAAAAAACCGCAGGGCTCTAGGATCAGGTTCATGGCTTGACCACTTTTACGGATGTTCCGGATTTTTTGAGGACCGTTCCGCTGTCTCCAGGATCCATTAGGAACCATGACTGTTTTTTGACTATTTGTGAACATTTGTGCCCATTAATCTAAATTACAGATCTTGCGCCACTTGCAAAATCCTACAAACACACTTTTCAAAAAAACGTGTAACAACTCTTTTTGCTTTTTAAAAAAGTAGACGACTCTATTTTCAACCTTTTTGCAATCAAAATCATCTACAAACCCTAGAAATTCTAAAGGTACCACAATTTTTGAAATTCATTAAGAAATGGCTAAGTTATGACATTGGAAACTTGCCGTTACACGTTTTTCGGAGGCTTCGTAGTCGGCGTAAAGTTTTTTACCCACCGTATTCGGAGTGTTAAATCATTCAGAATTTTAAAAATGTATTAGGCTTCAAGATCGCACCAAACTGGTTAGGTTCCATAATTATTTAGATATAATTTTGAAATCCGAAATTTTTAATGTTTTATAAAGCCTCAGAATTTCGAAAAGTTTCTAAGTGACGTGTATTTTTTTTAATGGCACTATGCCGAACGCAATATCACCACAGAAACACCCCACAGAAACACCCCGTTCTCTTTTTCTTATGCAAAATAATGAATGTGCGTTCACAAAACGCACGAAATCTTAAAAAAAACCATATTAAGATTTTTTTAATTCAATCAATAGATTAAAAATGTACCGAGAATTAAAAGGAGGGATTTCAAGCTAAAATGTTCTGATCGCGAAATATTGACTATCAATACCGAAATTTCGCATAAATGTCCAACTCATTTTGTGTGGTGTGTGCTGCTGATTTTCAGTGTTGCCCAATGATTAGGGAACTTTCATAAATAACGTAGTAGTTGAGGGAGGAGAGTGGTTTCAGAAATTGGGACCGGCCATGTATTAGGTGTATTGCAAAACACGCTCCGAGGGGGAAGGGGGATTAATTGGTCAAAAATTACGTAATTTATGGATGGCCCTAAGTTTACTTCCAAGGCTGTGTCGCAATGGGTGAGTATAATTTAACTCGTGGTTAAAAGTGACAGATGAGTTATCGAATAACCCTGCTATACGAGCATGGTTATTTCAGACCGACTAGAAGTTAAATTTTGGTAACCGTGGCTGTGTTTTGTTTGAAAACTGATCAATTTCCGGCATTTTCGAACATTGAAAATAACTTACGAAATGTCACGTTTAAATACGAGTTAAATTTAACTCGGCAATTGGTACACAGCCCAAGAAGTATTTCTCATTACTTTTTCGAAGGAACGTATCAGCTTTTGTAAACATCGCATTTGATCGTCGATTTGGCGTAACTGGTAGCTCGCCCACGCATGCTAGTACTACCATCATCAGATAGGGAAAATTTTCCCAACCTGTTAGCGGTGTTAGTATATGGGGCGAACTATTAGTTATGCCAAACCGACGATAAAATGTGTTGTTTACAAAAGCTGATATGTCCTTCCGAAAAGTAATCGAGATTTTTGTAGTTATCATTCAGGCA